ATATATATATACATACGATGAGAGTTCTATTTACTCTAAGATCAAGTTCTTAATAATTTATCTTCTACATTAAATTTTAACAATTTAACTATTGAATTAAAAATTTTTTAATATATAGATTAAGTTTGTAAATTTTTTAAAAATTTAAAAATTATTTGATACTTCATTTCATTAATTCAAATTGACAGATAATCGTAAAAATATTTTATACATTAATTTATTGAATGGAGTAAATATAAACTTACTTACTCTTGGAGTAAATTTAATCAGGCTTACTTTTGGAGATCCTTTCATCATATTGCATTTCTCACTAATAACCACTAGCATAATTAACTACCCTGCTAACAAGATCATCAACGTTTGCTTCCTTGGGTTTGGTACCCTGTAAATCTAGTTCCGTCCAGCAATTCAGTTCCACCGGGCATAATCTTAAGAAAGTTACGTGGATTCACAAAGTCATCTCATAGATATATCCTCACATACATTTTTTATTACACTTTTTTCGACATTATAATGAATAAAATATGAGTAACACATGCTTATCTCATGTTTATGTAAAGGGTTTCATTTACTATTTTTAGCAAATTTATGCAAATTTTTGTTGATAGAATACATGTTAATTAGTGTGTGGGAATTATGTTTCAACTAGCTAATCACCAAACCAAGTTCCGACAACATAGTTAAATTGTTGTCCTTTCTGATAGCCTTTTAGCTGTAATGGTATTTGACCATTCCTGAGTTTTAACTGTTTAGAGAGTAATTCAATAGTGGAGAGTGGAGAAATCCCAAACAATCAATTGCTAGCACTAGCAATATTGCTGCAACTTTAATATATTATAACTGGAACAATGTCTGTTATCTGAGGGAGGAGGTTGAACCAGACTGAAAAGGGTCACTGACAAGCAGTATAGCATTGTGCTTAATAATGAATGCTGGGTCGGTTCAATAAAAACAGTTTGAGAACATAATATTAACTGTTGAAGGCATGATGGTGATGCAAGATTTGACCAGCCTCAGATATTTTTCAGCTTTACCTTTAAATATTCAAATCTCAACATCTCTAACTTCAGAATAGGAAAAGATGCATTGCATTACATTCACATCCTTTAATCCTTATTAATTAACAATGTCATTTCTCATATTAACCTATTTTAGAGTGATACTATTATATATCACACTATTTTAATATATTAATGCTTCCAAAATCAGATACATGGAAGAAGGAAATCCATATAGCTTGAGAACATAACTGGAGAAAAATAAGGATAATGGGAAAATAGAGACAATATCACAAGAAGGTTTTGGAACAAACATTAAGAACAAAGACATGAAAGTCCAAGGACTATATCCATATGTTTGAAAAGATAAAATTTTGTAGTCGGAAAAGTAAAGGACTCTTAAGAAGATTGTGGAGTGTGAACCAATAGAAACAACAAACAAGTGACTGGACTAGAGGGACCATGAGATCTCAAGGAGCACATACAGTATCTTTGCTACATTAAATTAACATGGCATATGCGCTTGTTCCCATTTCTCTTTTCGTTGTATTTCAACTAGTTTTTTTTTTTTTATGTGCACCAACTCATTATGCGTTTGTTTCTCTCGAAACCCCTAGTGTACCTACTAAATGGTCAATTATATATATATAAATGGAGGTTGTTGAAACTGAACGAGTCCATTATAGAACAACGTGTGTTTGTGTGTGTGTGTGTGTGTGTGAGAGAGAGAGAGAGAGAGAGAGAGAGTCACTGGAAGGGGTATACCCTCTCACGTCTAGTACTATTAGACTTGATATGTAGATAAATGATGGGTAATCAGTTTTTAATGATCTATGATAGGTAATTCTTTTTAAGGATTTATGATAGTTTTAATACCATATTAAAATAGTGAATTTGAGTCTAACTCAATCTTACAAAACTGATTTATAAAATGAGAAATATTTTCCTCTTATATACTATTTAATTATTTAATCTCTATTGAAGTGAAACTCAAATTTTTTCTAATAATTTGAATTTCTTCCGCCCTCACTTTCATAAAACAAATCATCGACATTAACCAAACATTTTTTTTAAAATATCTAAAAATACCATTCCCAATTACATTCGTAATACTAAAATCATAATAGATAGCATTAGCAAGTCAGGTGCCATGGTGAATGACGCAGCAAAAAGGGAGATATAATTTGATAAATATTATAACACAGGGAAAGGATAAGAAAAGTAGATCATGGAATATTTAGAGATTTTTATTTAAGCATTTTTAAAAAGCTTAGATTCTTGTCTATAAAAAAAGAGCCGAGCCAAAGCAAGAGGAACAGCACCACTTCCTAGAACCAAACAAACCCACTCACTCTGTTTTCTCTGTTCAAACAGAGTTCACTTCACATAATAATAATAATAACAACAACATTTAACTTTCCTTCGTTTCTTCACTCTGTTTCCATGCTTCCCATAACACTGTTCTTCACACCATCACGTTCCGTTGCCATCGACAAGTTTCTATTCCCCTTCCAGTGACTCTCTCTCTCTCTCTCTCTCTCTCTCACACACACACACACACACACAAACACACGTTGTTCTATAATGGACTCGTTCAGTTTCAACAACCTCCAAGCAGAGAAAGCCAACGCGATTCTGAAACACCGGAAGCTCCAAAGGGTTGCAAGCTTGCTGCGAATCCTGGAAGTGTGCGCTGTTTTGGTCTTGGTATCGAGGGTCTCCATGCATCTACCAGTTGCACTCAGAAACTCCGGCGAGTACTTCAGAGACTTGTCTCTCTTCATGCATAGTCCTCGCTTCGTTTTCTTCGTCGGAAACGTCATCATCATCACGCTCTTCGCGCAGTTCTCCGCTCAGGGCTCCGCCAGAAACCTTGGAGAACAGAACCTGTATCAGGAGTTTGTCCACAACAGCGCAAAAGATCACAGGCACGTGGAAACGGTGGTGGTGGCAGGGTGCGGGAAAAAGAAACAGAGGATGAAAACAGGGGAGGAGAAGGTTTGTAGAGGGTGGGAGACGGACGGATCCTCTGTTTCTTTTTCCCGCACTCTGCCACCACCACCGTTTCCACGTGCCTTTGATCTTTTGCGCTGTTGTGGACAAACTCCTGATACAGGTTCTGTTCTCCAAGGTTTCTGGCGGAGCCCTGAGCGGAGAACTGCGCGAAGAGCGTGATGATGATGACGTTTCCGACGAAGAAAACGAAGCGAGGACTATGCATGAAGAGAGACAAGTCTCTGAAGTACTCGCCGGAGTTTCTGAGTGCAACTGGTAGATGCATGGAGACCCTCGATACCAAGACCAAAACAGCGCACACTTCCAGGATTCGCAGCAAGCTTGCAACCCTTTGGAGCTTCCGGTGTTTCAGAATCGCGTTGGCTTTCTCTGCTTGGAGGTTGTTGAAACTGAACGAGTCCATTATAGAACAACGTGTGTTTGTGTGTGTGTGTGTGTGTGTGAGAGAGAGAGAGAGAGAGAGAGAGAGTCACTGGAAGGGGAATAGAAACTTGTCGATGGCAACGGAACGTGATGGTGTGAAGAACAGTGTTATGGGAAGCATGGAAACAGAGTGAAGAAACGAAGGAAAGTTAAATGTTGTTGTTATTATTATTATTATGTGAAGTGAACTCTGTTTGAACAGAGAAAACAGAGTGAGTGGGTTTGTTTGGTTCTAGGAAGTGGTGCTGTTCCTCTTGCTTTGGCTCGGCTCTTTTTTTATAGACAAGAATCTAAGCTTTTTAAAAATGCTTAAATAAAAATCTCTAAATATTCCATGATCTACTTTTCTTATCCTTTCCCTGTGTTATAATATTTATCAAATTATATCTCCCTTTTTGCTGCGTCATTCACCATGGCACCTGACTTGCTAATGCTATCTATTATGATTTTAGTATTACGAATGTAATTGGGAATGGTATTTTTAGATATTTTAAAAAAAATGTTTGGTTAATGTCGATGATTTGTTTTATGAAAGTGAGGGCGGAAGAAATTCAAATTATTAGAAAAAATTTGAGTTTCACTTCAATAGAGATTAAATAATTAAATAGTATATAAGAGGAAAATATTTCTCATTTTATAAATCAGTTTTGTAAGATTGAGTTAGACTCAAATTCACTATTTTAATATGGTATTAAAACTATCATAAATCCTTAAAAAGAATTACCTATCATAGATCATTAAAAACTGATTACCCATCATTTATCTACATATCAAGTCTAATAGTACTAGACGTGAGAGGGTATATTAGAAAAAAATTTGAATCTCACATCTACTAAAAATTAAACAATTACATAATATATAAAGAGAAAACAACCCTCATCTTATAAGTTAGTTTTGTAATGTTGAATTAAATTCAAATCCACTATTCTAAAAAAATATATATACAAATGAGAGTAAAAAAAATTTAATTCAAATAATTAAGAGTTTGAATTATTATAGACTTTTAAGTGACAAATTTGATTTTTATTGATTAAAAAAAATTACATTATCAAAATCAACTTATCCACATCTCCATTCTTTCTCTAAATATACATCCACTAATATAAATGGTCAATTATTATTACCATCTACTATTTTAGCAAATAGGAAATGTCCCGTGTGGATTAAATAAATGGACAAGTAGCAATCCGAAGTGATCGGGCTACTTTACACTTCTTTTTGTTCCATAGTCTAATGTTTGAAAAAGAACATCATGTTGAGACCAATCACCACCCTCATAAACGTCACGAAGTTGCACATGTTCGTTGGCTAGCCATCATTATCATATCCGAATGGTTAATTGACTTATGATTGTTAAGCATGTCTCCCTTGAAGTCACTCTTTAATCCATTGATTTCCTCAAGTTTTACTTTTGCTGTTAGATGCAACCTCCTTCTTTCTATTGGACCCCTCCCCAACAAACACACATGTAATGTCTCATTTCGCTTCCAAGACCATTGTTCCAACCATCCCTACCTTAAATTATTGACAGCAAGAACTACGTTGATATAAGGCATGTTTGGTTCTACATTCATAATTTACGTTTAAATAAGAATCACATGAAAATTGATATAAAAACAATTAATTGCTACTTTCTCTTATTTCCATCTTGTCAAAATTGACGTGAACTCAAAGATGTTCCATATTCTTCGAACCAGAGATAAACCAATGATCCATGTGTGGTCCACAGTATATATAGTTGTTGCCATCCTACAAAAACGGCATCCTCCCCTTCAGCTACAATTAAATGATGACTTCGATTGATAACATTGCATATTGGTAAATTGAAATTGCAAATTTCACTTTCATGACACAATAGTATCCCAAAAATTTAAGGTAATGTGGAGTTCTGATGAACAGGCTCCTCTAGAACACATTATTGAGGATGGGGGAAGAAACTATTGAAACTTGTGTACTTGAGAGTAAAAGATGGTGGGGAATAAATAAAGTCATTGAATAATATGATTATGCGTGGTTTGGTTGAGAGGGCCAGTTGTACTTGGTGTTGAACATTAATTTTATTAACATATGGGCATGAAATAGATAGGGTCTGTAGACCAGATACTATTCTAAATGTTAGATGCTTATTCATTTTGAAGTGATTGTTAGAAAAGACTATGGAAAGGTCATGGGTACATTAGATATGATGAATGAGAGAGTTCACAAGGCTTTGAAATGATTAAGTCATAGAAAGGTAAATATCCCCATCCCATCCTCTCTGGTTCACACTACGCATCAAATTGTGATTAGATTTCTACTTTGACATCTTCTGTTTGGCCAGTATTGGAACAGACTGAAATGGTGCTCAAAATCAGATACTAGATGTTGCAGTCTGCCCTATTCCTTGTTTCGCTTCGGAGAATAATTTCGTTTGAAGGAATTATCTCAATAATTTTTTATTATAAACTATATCAGATTTAAATTAAAGTAATCAAAAGAAGTATAAAACAATATTTTTATTAAAATATTACCTAAAGCATTCAGCCAAAAATAACTTAATGTACTTATATAATGTTTCGTGAACGATGACAACGAAATGTTATCTCCTCCCTTTATTTTATTTTTAGAGCGTGTATATATATAGAGAGAGTTATTTTTATTAAAGTTATTTTAAACTAATTGTTTACATTTTTTTTATAGATCTAAATATATATTTTAAAGTTCAACAAATCCTAAATTGTGGTAAAAAGTTTTATAATAATTATTTTATAATTAAGAAATATAACTCTTTTACTGAATTGCCCATTTTAGCAGTAAAATGCTATCTTTATTCTAGTTAGGATTTCATGTTTAAGATAGGAATTCAATTCCAGTTTATGATTATGATTAATAAACACAAGTTTCAACTTTCAAACCGTATTGTGCAAGAAATTTTTCGTTTATAATAATTACTTTAAAAAAATATATTTTAGATATTATTTAATAAATTCATAGAATAAAATTTTTTATGTTAACTATGTATAAAAGTTAAAGTTATTAAACAAAGAAAAATAATTTATGCACCGAACAATGGAAATATTTTATATACCGTCATTTAATCTGAAATCGTCATATACTATAAATTTATTGATTTTTATAAAACTACTTCAAATTTATACTTAAACTCTTAAATAAATACTTAATTAAACATTTTACATAGAGAAAGTAATTAATTTATACATTGACTAACATCCAGTTAGAAATAATCACACATGGTAAGTTTATTATCTTTTACAAAATTTATTTAAAAGTTTTTTTTTTATCGGTTAACCAGTCCTTCGTTTGGTGAAGGGATAAAGGAGAGTCTGGAGAGATGTTCTGCAAACGGGACCTATTATCATTTCAGTTTCGTCCACAAACAAAAGAAAAGTGAAGGAAATGCACTTTTTTTTTTTAATAGAATGAAGAAAATTCCCTATTTATATTTTATTTTATTATTTGGGTATAATATATATATATATATAAAGAAATTTTCTGTCTTTTTTCATTTCATTTCTTCTTTATTAAACAAATATAAAAAAATATTTCAATTCTTGATAAGAGCAACTCCAACGGGAGTTTCTTAGCTCATCAAGCAACTCTAAGATGAGGGCATCTCCAATGGAAGCAACTCACTTGAGTTGCTTCATGCATTGGAAACTGAAAAAAGTGGTCCCCAGTGTGCCATGTCAGCATTAAGCAACTCAAACAGAAATTCACTCCAATGGTAAGAAACTTTAAGAAATTCAGCTTTTAGAATTTTTTTTCAAATCATTTATGAACCAATTGAAATTTTTATTAAAAAGGACAATTGCACTACAATAAAAGAAAATGAATTATGAGAAAAAATACACAATAAGTAGATATTAAAAATAAAATAAAGCAATAATAAATACATAAACATTATACGAAATTAATTTTCATCATTATTATTTCCGAAACGTTCCCAAATATGTTCAATAAGATCTGCTTGAAGTTGGCGGTGTATTCGTTTGTCATGAACATCTGCTCTCCTTTGAAGGTATGTTGTTCTAAAATTGGGATGAGCACCTATAGATATTTCAGATCTTGACATGTCATCATCTACACCATCATAATCAATATAATTTTGATAGGTGTCTCGCTCGTCCTCGACAATCATGTTATGCAATATGATACATGCATAAATTATATTTTTCATTATTTCGGCATCCCAAAAACGTGTTGGACCTTGTATGATTGCGAATCGAGATTGAAGCACTCCAAATGCACGTTCTACATCCTTTCTCGTTGATTCTTGTCGTTGGGCAAATAATTTCCTTTTTTAATATTTTTTTTATGAATAAGCAGTTAAGGATATATATAAAATTAAATAACAATTATTTATGTAAATTTTTTTTTTATGAAATATAAATAAACTTGATCTAAAATTTGTAATATTATATTTTTAATTTTATAAAATATTAAATAATAAAAAAATCCAGAGTTTAGTTTCTATATACTATCATAACTTTTTATTCACTTTCAAGTTTCAACTAATGAATAAAAAAAAAGTATGTATAATTTTTAAAATAATTATTATTGAAGTAAAAAATATTATACCCATCATAATTTATTATTATGTGAAAATAAAGATAAATATTATATGAAAAAATGAAACACTCATTAAGAATAAAAAGTGAATTAAAACAAATTAAAATATAAAAAACAAACTAATTAATAAAAGATAAAAATAGACAATAATTAAGGAATCAAGAGGAATGAGTTAAAATTATATATTTTGGGAGCCAAAAATTATATCACAGAAGACATATTTGTATTACCTTTAAAATCAGAAGATACAAATGAAGTCTCTAAACTGTATGTAGGTCCACCATTGTCCTCATTGTCCACATCTACACTTTTTTCTCTTATTACAATCTTAACCATCATAGTATTATTTTTTTTTAGACTTAAATATATTTTTAGTTTTCTAAATTTAAGATAAATTTATTTTTAATATTTTAAATTTAAAAATATTATTTTTAGTTTCTATAATTTTAAAAAATCATTTCAGTTCTTATATTCAAATTTTGTTAAAAAATTTATCAAACATTATTGCATAAAATCTACCTATTAGTATTTTTATTAGTGAAAATATCACATTAAATTTGGTTAATATTGTATAATTATCTTAATTAATCACTTTCAAATATGTTATTGATAACTTAAGAAATTAAAATAAATTTTTTGAATATTATAAGGACTAAAAACAATAATTTTAA